TAATCCGCCTCTTCTGGCGCACAGGATCTATGCGCAGGCGGGCGAACCATCTATGAAGGCGTCTCATGTGAAGTAGGCCCAGGGGAACCACGATGTGGGCCACCGACATCATCCCAGGAGTCGCATGACATGCAGAACTATCACTATGCTGCAGAGTTTGACACGGCGGAGCTGAGCTGATAGAGCTTCGGCTCTCAGCTGTGATAAACGGCTCTCATTGTAGTTGACTGTAGCTCCATTTCCAGATAAACAATCATCTGGGACAGACAAACGGAAGTTTTTCCCAATTTATAGAAACTCCAGGTTTAGCAGGTGTAACACTAGCGTTTTGGTCTGTGTGACTGCTTCCTATCTGGACCGAGCTAATAAGAGCAGATTGTCCAGATAAAAAGAATTCTCATGCCTGCCATGTGTAACGACTGCAGAGCCGTCTCCAAGCATTTCGAGAACATGCGTGGGGTGTTTGCGAATGATGGAAATGTGAAAATATGCGCTCTTCAGATCTATGGAGGTGAAAACCAGTCGTTCTGGTGAAGTTCTCCAGCAGTTGTTTGTCAGCATGTGGAATTGTCTCCGCATGATCGAATTGCTAAACATGAACTGGTTGAGAATGGGTCTCATCCCTCCGGTTTTTTATCAGACCAGGAAGTAGTGGGAGGAAAAAACCCTGTATCTTCCTCTCCATTGGGAACGCTGGAAATGACGTTTTTCATCAGAAACTCCTGAACTTCTGACTGGAGAGACAAGCTCTGTTCTGGAGAAGACAGAACCGTCTCTATAATCCCTCTGAACAGTGGGGGTTGAGCTGCGAACTGCAGCGTGTAACCCCTACTGATCAGTCGGTCTGTCCATCTGTCCAGGGAACACACTCGTTGCCCCTCTGAGTAATGCTCGGAGAGTGGGCACGCATTTGTGTTGTGTCATGTTTCTCATGAACGTCAACCAGACTAAAAAGCCTTACTGCCATTACTCGTTCCGGAGATTCTCCGGGGGGAATCCAAGGGGGGCTCCGATAGAAAAAAAGGGTTGTGTGTGTACCTCTGTGCTGAGCCCAGGCTGTGGTCTCACATAGAGCTGAGGTGAGCTGGCATGCACCGAGAGGAGGCGTGAGCGCTTTCTGAGTGAGACGCCTTTTTGGTGGAGGCTGCAGCTGTCGTGGAGAAACACGTTTACTCCCGCTGCACTGTGGGTGGGCAGAAAACAGCAGAGATTAAAAACGGGCTTTGGTTGAAAACGAGGGATTTTACCAGACTCGGTCTGCTGAAAAAACATAATTTTAGCTGACGTGGCAGACGAGTGTTTTGTGATATTTACTGCACTGCGGTGCCATTTAAAAACACTGTTTAGAGGTTACCGGCTCGTCCTGTATAGGGAATGTGTGAAGAGAGGCAGCTGTGAGATCAGCTGATCTGACAGTCTCAGATGAAAACTTTCATAGATGTTTCTGTTTTATATCAAAACATATATCGTCAAAAAACACATACATTCCCCTCAAGGATCTGTTACCTGGTGGAGGGGGCCAGCGGAGGAGCGGAACGTTAAATCGCTGCCGCAGCTGTGGAGCACCTCTGCTGCTGTTGTTGGCCAAGGCGATCCCTCCTGCGGCCGGAGGGGCGAGAGGAGGACTGTGATGTCACCAGATGGTGTACAGTCTCTGAGACCTCCTCGGACCTCTGCGATTTCTCAAGGGTGGTCCTGAAGTTGGCCCCGAACAGCACTTCTGGGGTGATGTGGCTCTCCAACAGGTCTTTCTGCAGCCTCTCGGACAAGGATGGCGAGAGGCGGAGCCAAGTGGTCCTTTGGATCATGGTCATCCGGGCAGTGATGCGGGACAGGCAGACCGCAGAGGTGGCGCACATGTTTAAGATGACGTCAGTGGCTTTACAGATAGAGCTCTTTGTCTCCTCCAGCAGGTCTGCTTCCTCCAGCCTCTTTGAGACGCTGTAGGCCAGCAGAGCGATGTTGTTGTTCGCCACGACCACCTGGGATGTGCACTGGTGAGCTCGGTTGGAGAGCTTTGTCACCCTCTGGTCATGCTTTCCTGGAGGGATAGGTTGCCGGTCCATCCTGGAAGCTTTTGCCCCAAGCACCTCCACCAGGCTTGGCTCCAGGGGGGAGAACCGAGGGAAAAAAACACAGATTGGTAAAAACCCTCCACTCTGGAGATGGAGGCGAAGGTGGAGACAGATGTCTTTAGCTTGCCGGGCCCAGCTGCAACCTCGTTCCAATGTGACGTCACAGCTGGACAGAGAGGTCAGATGGGATCCGGGCAACGAGCCGGGGCAGAGCCAAACCTTCCCGCCAGATCATCCAATCAGGGCGGAGGGAGGCGAGGGACGGAAAGTCCCTTGTGTTAGCAGCCTCCTGGATTATGCCGGACAACTCCGAGAGGAGGGCACAGACGGCTGGGAGCGGTGTGGTCGCCGACGTGGGAAGACCCAAGGTGGCTGAGCATCTGTTCGACCGCTCTTCTTCCGTCACTACGCTCTCCAGGAGGGAAGGGGCAGCGAGGTTGTTTCTAGCATCGCCTTTCTCGGAGGAGTCATTCGATTCACTGCATGACTCTGCGTCAAAGAAAGGTGGTGACGTCGTCCCGCGCGTAGTGTCCCGCCACAGAAAAAAACACTCAGCGGAGCTGCTGCCCGCATCGCCTTTTTCAAGGGAATCATCTGATTCACCGCGAGGAAAACACGTTTGAAAAGGCGGTGGCGTCGTCCAGCGAGTAGCGGCTCTCCATGGAAAAAAACACTCAGCAGAGCTGCTGCTAACTTTGCCTTTTTCCAGGGAATCATCCAATTCACCACGAGGAAAAAACGTTAGAAAAGGCGACAGCGTCGTCCAGCGGGTAGGGGCCCGCCACGGAAAAGCACTCCTCTGCGCGTACCTTGAACAAGGCTGCTTGTCTCTGCTTCTCCTCGGGGAGGAAGAGCTCACTGGGACGGCAGGAGGTTGGCGTGGCAGAGACCCAGGCATCCTTAGCAAAGGTTGTGCCGGTCAAAGCTGGACAACTTTTCCTTCTTTGTTATTCTGACAGTGCTAGCTAGCTGACTGAAGAAAAAAATGGGAGCCGATTACCCAGTCTCACCGTAATTTATACGGACCAGGGGTGAGGCCCACTCAGCAGGTGGGCGTGGACTAAAGTTTTCAGTGCTGCGCTGCGCGCGACTGCATAAACCCACTAGCTATAGCCTTAAAGGGCGAAGCCTATATGAAATAGAACTAGTAAAGAAACTGAAAGTTAAACTGGATTTCTTTTTCAGAAACCGATCCTGTCTAACTCTGAATGCTAGGAAACACCTTGTAATTGTGACTTTCCTTCCCTCCATTGATTACAGTGACATTATTTACATGAACGTTCCTACAAGAACCCTGCAGATGTTGGATGCTGTCTATCATGGTGCACTAAGATTCATATCTGGCTGTGATTATTGTACCCACCACTGCACCCAGTATTCACTGGTTAACTGGTCACCATTAACTTCACACAGACTCTCCCACTGGTACATTTTCATCTTTAAATCACTTCTTGGTCTGCTGCCTTCATACATCTCCTCCTACATGTGTCTGTGTGAGTGCAGCTACAGCGTGCACTCTCAGGACATTATTACCTGCAGTGTTCCCTCAGTGAGGACTGAACTAGACAAAAGGGCCTTCTCTTACTCCGCTCCTGTTTCCTGGAATATCTTACAAAAATCTTGCACCCTCTCTTGACTTTTAATAACCCTCTGACATCACTAGAACCACCCCCTGTTGGTTGTTTCAACCAATCAGGAAGTACTAAGTGACCGGAAGTGAAGACTCTTTAAAAGTTGACACTTCCTGGAACTATTTAGTTCTTCTGAGTCTTCTTCAGTCTTCTGAGGCTTGGAACAGTCTTGGACTGGAGTCTTCATGGAGTCTGTGAGTATTCCACTTCTGAGTGGGATCTCTGACGGAGTCACAGCGCCTCGCTGTGAATCTACCCGGGTGTAACGCCTACAACTTAGAGGGAAGCGTGTCTGTTTAACGGAGTAAACCACATGACTTGTGACGATGCCCAGCCACCCTGACCGGAGACGCTGTAAAAGGATCGTACTATTGGACTTCTGTTCCGGAGTGGAGGTATCCCCCGTCTAAGGTAACGAAGTCTCTGCACGTCCTGAAGTGTACCGGAGGTTTGAGCTGGTGTTGAAAGAAGCGTGATAATTCGGGTCAATCCAAACATACACCTCCCTTCATCCATCTCCTTTAAACTTCTCCATTCCTTCCTTTAAACTCTTCTATTTTGCTAGTAATCTAGATGCCTTCAGAAATGTCCTGTTGTCTTATTAGTAAAGCGTGCCAAGTTTTATTAATCAGAACCAGATCAGTGAATCAAGTGTACAATGTTTTGATGTTAAATTTTGATTCTGTTAAATAAATGACCGCATTTATTCTGATGGGTCAAAGAAAATTAACGTCTCCTGTCACTGATTAAACAATACTCACAGTTATCTCGGTCACATGGCATTACGTTAACTCGAAAAAGAAAGAATCTGTTGCATTTAAATAATTAGTAGTGAAGCGACAGCAAAGGCTGACCCCCACATTTCACTACACAATTAAAGACCTGAAATATTTCAGTTGGAGTGCAATGAATGTGAAATATATGAAAGTTTCATTTTTATCATTACATTATGGAAAATAATGACCTTTATCACAATATGCTAATTTTTTGAGAAGGACCTGTATGCTTTCTTGTATGGTTGTCCATTGTTGTCATCACTCTTTGTTGAAATCAGGCCTCTCTTGTAAATGAGTCCCCGAGGCTCAATGGGATTAACCTGTCTAAATAAAGGTTAAATGAAAAAACGAAAAAAACATGAATGCCTGTTTTTATTTTATTTTTTTTCTGTGGGTGATAATCTGTGAGGGGCCCATTAAATTCCATGTCAGTGTCATAAACCTAGAAGGATATTTGGGCTGAGTTTAAAATGTTTTGTGATCCATTGACCATCTGCTTCTGTGTGTCTGTCCATCAGTACAGTGGTGTGCTGCCCGGCCTGCGTGTGGTTTTACCACCATGTTATGGTTGCAGTAACTGGAGGCGTGGCGGTCGTTGCAGCATTGGCTCTCTGCTCCATTCTCATCTGGCCAATCAAAATCAGATCAAGTGAGTCGTGTGGATAAACTATTGTCACACATCAAGTGCGCTCTGAACTACCAACATCTCCTTTTTGTTGCTTCTAGGGGATGTACAAATAACCCCTGCAGAGGTGACAGGAGTCAATTGACAGGTTCCAGGCTTCTGATTCCGTGCAACATAATGGAGGACAACAAACTGTGGTCTAAGGGGCCTCCACAGTTGTTATTTTTTTATATTTGATTTACTTTTTCAGGGGAATATCATAGAAATGTGCTCAAAGTTTACAACAACTACTGACAACTATAGGAACAAAGAAGGGAGATTATTATTTAAAGCGGTATCTGGTGATGTCTGACATTTAGTTTTCTCGAATCATTATCATTCATGACGCCAGTTATCGAGCACAGAGGAAGGAAAGAAGTCAGTCTTCATTCAGGCTAAGCTAATGGCTAGCCAATCAAGTGGCTATTGATAATTTTTGTCCCCCGTTGCAAAGAGGGGACTTGGAAATACACTCAACTTGAAAAATAGGTGACGTACTGACTTCCATTTTGGTGTGTGGCTGCATCGAGGAGTAAGAAAGGTCACAATTGAAATTGGGTTGCCACATCAAAATCCAAGATGGCCACCAACATATATATGTGTGTGTGTGCGTGCGTGCGTGCGTGTGTGTGTATAAACTGACCACGCCCAATCCTTGGAGAAAACTGTTTTCTAGTTTTAACTGCTTAAAAGTAGTTTCCTTAAATGCCTGAGGCAGCCTAATCTATGGGGGTCATTGACAGCATTACTTTTGTGAATCTAGAGCGGTAAGAAAGTCTCAAGTCACATTCACAGGCAAGTTGATCCGTGCGCAGCAGGTGATTTGTGCATGTTTTTTTTCTCTACAGTAGTCCCTCGTTTATCACGGGTGTTAGGGGCCACGCCCACTCACAATAAGTGCAAAACCACAAAGAGGGATACAGTAGTCCAAGTTCAAGTTCAGTAAACTTTGTCTTGACATGTGCCAGGCTGCAGTCACGCTCATTCATCACCTGTTACTCCCAATCTCCCTCCTTAAATAAACCATTTAAATTTAAATACTGTAACATTTTCAATAATCAATCCATGCAGCATGAATTGATTATTGAAAATGTTACAGTATTTAAATTTAAACTGTAGAGAAGAGAAGTGCAGCAGGACATGACAGGATGTTCAGCTTCAGCTCTGCAGCACGGAGCACAAATGTTCTTGATCAATGACACTGAAACAAATGAACATAGAAGTTCTAAAATAATTAAAATAAACTTTTAACACATATTTTGTGATTATGATGATTTTACGATGTGACACTTTGAATTTTAAGTTGGAAGACAAAAATGGATCGGTGCATCTGGACAGTAAAGGGTTAATCTTCACAAAGCTGCAGCAGAAGAAATGTGGGCGTGGCAGACAATGAGATCAGCTGATCGGCTGCAGGAGGGAGTTTCCCCCTGCACTTGTGGGCTGCACACATGGTGCAAAATCATTTAAAATAATTTATTTTAAATAAACAACCCATGGCTCATCCATCAATCAGACAATCATGTCATGTCCAGTCTTATTTTGAATAACCGCGATATATCGAATCCACAAAAAACAAACCGAGAAATAGTGAGGGACTACAGGGGCGGCTGTGGCTGAGTGGTTAGAGCAGTCGTCCTCCAATGCAAGAGTTGGGGGTTCAAATCCACCAGCAGTCACATGCTGAAGTGTCCCTGGGCAAGACACTGAACCCCTCGTTGCCTCTGATGTGTGTCCCATCAGTGTATGAATGTGATAAAGCTCTGATTAGTCTCTTTAGAATGATTTGTTCAATTATCTTTGTAGAGATCTAGTATAGAGCTGCATGAATGGGTAAATGAGGCACAGATTGTTGTAAAGAGCTTTGAGTATCTTGATCAGATAGAAAGGCGCTGTATAATTACAGACCTTTTACTGTACTTGTATGTGCAGAATATTCGTACTTGTACAATTTGAAATGTGTACATTTGAAAAACTGTGAATGTATTTGTGAATCTTTTAGTATCTTGTGGATCTTATTGCACACGTGTTGTTGTTGCTTGTGTAGCTACTTGTGACACTGATGTGTCCTGATGAAACCGAGCAGATGTGGCTGGAAAGCTGTGTGAATGAGCTCAGCCTCTTCAGCTGCTCGTTCAGGCTTCAAATCAACTCTTTCTCTAAAACAGCTAGACCCATGAAGTTAGCTTTTAGCTTAGCCTGGATGAAGACTTGGGCTCTCATCTTCCTCCTCTGAGTTCCATGACATCACAGCTGATGAAGAATTAACTTCTAACTACTTGACTGAACATCAAAATTCACCAGACCCTCCTTTAAAAAACCAAAACCACTAGACCTTGTTTCTTCCAAGTGTTTCAGCCACAGCTCCAATTACTTGTGAGAACGTCCTGGTGCGCAGAATGTACCGCACAGAAACCTTTTAAACACATGCTTATTGTTATTTTTTATTCTTTGTTGTTGTTGGGTGTTTGTAAAACTACTGCACCACACGGTGCTGGACTGCGGGAAATAATGGAAAGAGGGGTCAAAGTAAAATCCACAGTAGGTGGATAAAGACAAACTATTCAACCAATCCTGCTTTGTTCATGAAGCACTTTAAAACATGCACACAGGTCCACACACATCGTTCCATAATTCAGGAGCTACAGCAAACAATACGCACAGGACCGAGTGCTTGCACGCATCGTGGGGTTGAATTAAGAGTTTGAAAGTGTCTGACCATTCAAAGGAAATGTGTGCCAGGTAAAAGAGCTGACAACTAAATATTTATCTTTTTGTTCCATAAGACACCGAATCCAACCACGTTCAGCCAGCTCACCTGGATGGTTTCTTTTTGTTCTGAGACGTTTCACCTTCCATCCAGAGGCTTCATCAGTCTGAGGAGACACCAAACAAATCTGATTCTCCACCAACAGCTGACTCCAAAGTGGAACAAAACAGTTATGTTGATGCTAAGATGGTCTCCGGTGCCAGCCCTCTCCCTCGTCGACAGTCATGCCACACTGGTTCAGAACACCAAAGTCCATGCTCAGTAATCCAGGTATACAATCAACAATGTTCCTGAGACTGATGAAGCTTCTGGATGGAAGGTGAAACGTCTCAGACCAAAAGAGAAACCATCCAGGTGAGCTGGTTGAACATGGCTCAGATTTTATACCTGGATCATTGAGCGTGGACTTTGGGGTATAAGACACCAAAGCTCTGTCGGGAACCGTGCGCTTCGACTTGTATAGAGGTAAGACGACGAAATTCACAGAAAACTGGAGAGAATAAAAGAATGGCGGTCAGTGGGATTGTGGTGAAACGCAGCTCGGACCTGCTTGGCAGCAGAAACCATTCCAAGTGTCACAGAAAGTTGGGACTTTTATTGAAACAAACTGGCATTTAACATTTTTAATGGTTTTTATACAATCACTGTTTAAGTTTGAGGATTTTGACAGCTCATGACACTTTTTCCAAAACTTTCAAATGAAGCTCATTTTATTGCTACAAATCATTTTGGTGTAATTAGTAAAATGAAATGAGAGCGTAGTTCTTCCTGTCGTTTTTCAGCTCGTGTGTGTCACTGCTGCAGGATTTCTCTTTTCATCTCAGCTCTGCTTACATGTCTGTAATCTGCTGTTTCCCTCAGGCAGTCGTCGTGGCTCCATAAACCGCTGCCGGCAGCAGCTTTAACTTAGTCACATTGAGTTCTCTTTATGATGAACTGCACAGATGACACTTTATCAAGAACTCAGCTGAACTTGTTTGGTTTGAAACCTGACGGTGACTTTTAGGTGTCAGGCTGAGTTTCGTTCGACACCCTTGTGCCACGTTTACTTCCTTATCATTTTTGCACGTTGCCTTTTCTCCTTCATAAAATAAAATAAGTTGACTTTTTTATTTTGATTCAAACTTTAAAGAACTTTAATAGAAGATTATTTTGTTAGATTAGAATAAATTCAATCAGCTGAGGTCCAGATATGTTTTAAATACTTTAAAAGGGATCAATGCTCTGTGTGTGCTCATATGTGTAACTTGTAAAAGAACACCAGATTGTATCGCTGTCCGCACCTGTTTCCCTCCATCTTGTGACCTGTACAACCTGAGAAGGTGTTTAATGAGGGACAAAGATGACATGCTTTAAAGAAGAAAAGTGTTTATCTTCAAATATATTCTGTAAAAACTTGATTTTGTTAACTGACCTCAGGACCTGAAGGAATGTGTGTCAGAGGAATAAAACAAATTATTTCAATAGCAATGGTGTCAGAAACATTTGTAATGGGGGTGGGGGGTCATTTGATTCAATAAGTATTTTAGAGAGCACAACCAGACGGAATGGTTTCACTCATGAAGAAATGGAAACAGCACTGGGTAAACTAATCTGGTTCTGGGAGACCTCCTCTGTCTGAAGAGCAGTGAGCCATGGAGGTCTGGATAGAAGAAGAGCAGAAAAGTTCATGTTCAGATAATAGTAACGTTTTTTCTTCTTCTTTTGGCTGCTCCTTCTTCAGGGGTCTCCACAGTGAACTGTCGCTCGAAGTTCTATTTCGTTTAGGCTTCGCCCTTTAAGGCTATCGCTAGTGGGTTTATCCCTTCGCGCGCATCACCGAAGAACTTTAGTCCACGCCCACCTGCTGTGTGGGCCTCACCCCCAATCCGTATAAATTACGGTGAGACCAGGTAATCAGCTCCCATTTTTTCTTCAGCCGACCAGCACTGTTTTTTCGAAAAGAGAGAAGATGTCCAGCACCATCCGCCTGTGCCCGTCCTGCCAGACCGGATACATTATGAGCTTTGACCGGCACAACATCTGCGAAGGATGCCTGGGTCCCCGCCACGCCGACCTCGCCTCCTCCTGCCATCCCTGTGACCTCCTCCCCCCTAAGGAGAAGCAGAGACTAGCAGCCTTGTTCAAGGCTAACATCGAGGAGTGTTTTTCCGTGGCAGGGGATTGTTCGCTGGACGACGCCATCGCCTTTTTTGACACTGAGTCACGTAGCGAATCGCATGATTCCTCCAGGAAAGACGATGTCAGCAGCAGCCCCTCCTGGAGAGCGTAGTGTTGGAACGGGGGGGGGGGGGGGATGCTCACCCCCCCGGGCCTTTTTGCATTGGCGAACACACTGCTCCCAGCCGTCGGTGCCCTCCTCTTGGAGCTGTCCGGCATAATCCAGGAGGTGGCTGACACAAAAGGACTTTCCGTCCCTCTCCTCCCCCCGCTCAGATCGGATGCTCTAGCGGGAAGGTTTGACTCCACCCCGGCTCGCCGCCTTGACCCCATCTGGCCTCATTTCCCATCAGTGACGTCCTACTGGAACGAGGCTGCAGCCGAACCTGGTAGGCTGAAGGCGCCCGTCTCCACCTTCACTCCCATCACCAGAGTGGAGGGGTTTACTGAGTAGAGTTTTCCCTCGGTTTCCCCTCTGGAGTCAAGCCTGGCGGAGGCACATGGGATAAAAGTTTCCAGGTTGGATCAACGACCTATCCCTCCAGGGAAACATGACCAGACGATGACGTCGCTCTCCAACCGAGC